TTTCAAAATTTTGTTGATTTTAGTTTCGAAAAACTAAGGTTGAAAATGAAGCATTCATTTTCATTTTTTTCGAGTAGACAACCTCGTTCGCTGTCCTCGCAAATAATAATTGTACTTTTTAATTATTTGACAGATCTCGTCTACTCCATTAATCCGACAAGATCTTTTGTAGATTTAGCAATTTGAAAAGAAGCCTTTGCCAGAAGTTGCTTATGAGATTTATTTGTTCTGAATTCTTCAATGTTTGTTTTAATAGTCGAACGAATCTCCTCCAAAGATGATATACTAGACTCTAGAGAAATCAGTATTATTTCGCCTTGCTCTTTATAACTTGTCCCTGACGGCGACGAGAAAGCGGCTCGACATTCGGCAATAACTTGGGATACAATAGAAGTGATGGTGTTGATGTTATCTTGAATACTATCATCGCTGTGAAAGTTATTGCGAATGGCTGAGAGAAGGGTTTGAATCGATTGCACTATTGTTTCCATTTTCATTTCAAGGAATTTCTAAAAAATATAATAAAGTCATTTTTATTCAGTGAGTTTCGAATAAATTTGAAACTAATTAGTTGTATAAATTATTACTTTGGCATCCTCTATTTCAACAGTCCGACCGTTAAGCAGCGTATCTGCCTGTAATTCAATGTTAATATCGGTTATTGCGTCACTTTTGTTGTTACTTTGAGAACGCAGTGGTGGTGATACCGGCGTAGGACTCCGACTACCAAATGACGAGCTACTCATATTTTCTACAGACAACATGTTGTTATTATTCAACTTTTTGAATTCTTCGTTATCGTTATTATCATCGAGACGCCGAAGTTTGATAAGTTTTACTAGTTTTACTATTGTCTCCGTCAGATGACTTGCCGCTGCATCAAGTAAACTGACCGGAGAGATTCCATAACCGGTCGCATGATTTTTGGCTGCCGTCATAAGATTCGTTAGGGTGGCTGAAAGCTTAGTTTTTAGGGAATAGAGTTTTTCCTTATCCTCTGGTTTTAATGATGCTAATTTTCGTTGTTCGTAAGATTCGACGTCTTCTGTGATGCTTTTGCATGCGATTACAATCGATTTCATTGCCAGTAAAACATTTGTTGGAACGTCAGATCTATTTATTCCACAAATAATGAAAAAATGATGATTATTGGATTGTAGATGAAAAAAGTCAATTAAGTCGTCAAAATCATTAACAATGGTGGTTTTTAAGATCACATACCGTCCTGATCGCAAAAGATCATCAATAGCTGCTTGATAAGAAATAATTCGTGTTTCGTCTATCCCTCCGTCTTGATCTGACGTCAATAAGTTATCTTTTATGACATCGATCTTTGGCGGCTCTTTTACGAAAGATGACGTTGCTAATTTTATTGTTGCCAATTAAATATATTAACCAAGTTATTAGTGCTTAATTATAGGATCAAATTTGGAACAAATATTTGATTTAG